GTGCAGCTCCTAGTGTCTGCTTATGAGCATATCATAATGGACGAGTATGTCGGGTACAAAGAATGGAAGGAAAAGAAAGGCGAAACGCGGAGGCTGCCAATCAAAACCAGAGAGGATGCGGCCAAATGGGAGAGATTCGCCGACGTGGCGCGAGGTGGATCAGAGGTCAAATCCAGATGTATCAGTCCTTTGAAAACGGTAGGTCGATACTGGGGCGCAGGCTTTGTCCAGCACTACCAGTTGGCTTCCAAGGGGGTGAGATATTGCGAAGTTATCGGCGCCGCAGCGCGGGAGGTTCGTGATCTGGACGAGGCTGTGACGAAGCTGAACAGGTTGATGCTGCGGCGGCATCTGGCCACCGGGCGGGGGCTGCGTCGACTGCGCGAAGTGGTCAACCCGATCGATCAGGCCGATCTAGTGGATCTAAAGGCCTGGTCGCACCGAAATTCATTCGACAAGGACAAAGACTCTCTTCCGTACCGGAAACTGGCTGCTGCCGACTTGCCTCCCGGCTTTGGCTTCGACAAATTTGGGCTCATGGTGCGAGAGGAGTTTGCTGTCTCGTTGCCCGCCGACACCATTGAAACGGCAGCCGCGTTCGGTGCTGATATCACTGGACGCTCGGGACCCAACCATGCTTGCAACGTCGGCGTGCCGGGGCTTGATCCCCCGCACGGCGCCAGCCCGGGGGACTCGAACTTCGGCCGTTTCGTCGAACAGGTCCTCGATGCTGTCCTTGCACATGAGGAACCAAACGGGCCATCCGCCGCCAACGAGAGCAGTGAAGACGCTAGCTTTACAGAACGTCATGCCGGCGCCGCCCATTCCTCTTCTCCGGGTCCCTCCCAGTCGACAACGCCGTTGAGCTCACCGCCAGAGTCTCCTCCTGCCACCCTTTCCGCTGCCGGAGTCCCGTTCGGGAATGCCGCACGAGGGCTGGCCGACACCAGCCCACCCGCCGATAGCGACGCCGATGACTGCCGGCTTCCCAAAGATCAATCATTCCGCCAGCTTCTTCGCTCACGAGTAACAAACTCCGACAAGTCCGGCGGCGGAACAGCGGAAAGTGCTAGAAACGCGGACTGCCAACACGCCACCAATGCTCCTGTAGCGCGACTCCGAGGACGAAGTGGCAAGCCAGGCTACTACGAAGCGCCGCCGAGAAGGCCCAAACTACTCCGTCAGCCCGAGCTGCTCAGCACTGCGCGTTTGCAAGAGCGATGTTGTCCACCAAAAATATCATCAACGCTACTAGCGTTTCTGGACAAAATGGACAGCATCGCAACCGGGCAGATGCCTACATTCATGTTGGTCGGCGTTCCTTTTCAGGACATGTGTCATACACATCTTAAGAAGTACACAGAGGCAGTCACCAGCACGGAGTCCTTCAGGTCATCTCCAAAGGCGGAGAAGGAGCTCCAGACGGCCGGCCTTGATACAAGCGACACTCCCCGGCGCCGGCGTGCCTCGCTTTCCGAACCCATCGACACTACCCCTCTAAAACGGCTGCGGTCTGATGATCAAGATGCGTCGGGCCATAGTTATCTGCCGGCCACGACGAGCCTAGACGGCCGGCCAAAACATGATTCAATTCGCGATGAAGCCTATCGCCGGCGAGTGCTTAGGGACATGGAATCAACGGAACATGAGCCCAATTCCTGGGGGAGCCAAACGGACGCATTGGTTTCCCAAATCCTGTCCAAAAGCAGGCCGCCCACGGGCGAAGATGCATACTTCCTAAGCGGAAAGGAAGCAGCCCAACGTGCAGAGCTTGGATCGGTCGACGTGCCTATTTTCACGCAAGGCCAGCAGCGATTCCAGTGGAAGGGGAAAGACCGCCCAATTTCACAGCTGTTCTATCACATGGAAGACCTTGGCCTCGATCGGACTGTGTCCGTTCAGGTGCCCTCTCGCAGTTCGCTCAAGGAGTCTTCGGAGCGTAGGACGCTTTTCCAAGTCCGAAACCGGTTCCTCAGCCAGCGGTCAACAAGCGACCCCTGGAACCTTCTTGACCTGCAGGGTTCATTGCCTTCGACCCTGCCGTCTTTTTTGGAAGGCGACAACTGCCAACTTCTCCTCCGAATGCGCGATGCCATTCTAATGGGCAACGATGCTCAAAGGATAGCAGCATCTGGAAAAGATTGGAACACATGGCGCAACGTCGTAGAATGGGCACTCCTATCTGAAGGAGGACATAACACGGCGCCGCATATGGATAGTCACGGCTATTCAACCTGGATTACGGTCCAAGAAGGAAACATTGGCTTTGGATGGATGTCGCGCCCAAGTCAGCAGGAAGAAGATGAATGGATAGCCAATCCGCATGGCTATACCGGGGGTGAATGGAGATACGTCATTTTGTCGCCGGGACATACTGTCTTTTTCCCCTCTGGCACGATCCACTTCGTCTTCAGGGTGCAAGGAGTACAGACATTTGCGCTGGGCGGCCACGTCCTTCAATGGTCTGGCATTGAGCGGTGGCTTAGAGTGGTCGTCGCTCAACTGAAAAACCCGGAAATCACTAACGAGGACATGGCATCGAGTGCGCCAAAGCATGTTCAGGTCGTCAAGCGACTTGTTGCAAACAGGATCAAGGCTGGCCGGGTGGAAGAGATGGGCGGACGAGATGCAGTCTCCAGACTGTCCGCATTACTGAAGGTAAGGGGTTTACACATTACGTTTGCGACATGCGGGCTAATAATCGCTAGGACTTCGACAGTATTGCTGGGGGCTTGCGTATAGCAAATGAGCAAAACCCGAATACCCTGGGTCAACAAAAAGGTATGTACATAATCCCCTTTGGAAATGTCGTCGCTAATTATAAAGGGGACGCTCCAGATCTCGTTCATTCGATCCCTTGTCAGCCTCCCAGGCGTCCCCTGCCGACATGTGCCCCAAAACGTTCCGCCTAAGTTCGAGCCAGGATACCGGGCAGCTTCGGAGTTGGGCGGGGTCTTCCGGGCATATATGGGCATTGGGTGTGGTTATTCCTTGGTAGGGTACGAAAAGTCAAAAGTGGCCAAGGTAGAAACGGGAGCTGGAATTTCCTTTTTGTTGGACTGCAGCAGGAAATGAGGGCCAATTTGCTCGTATCGACTCCGCGTCACTCCCTCGTCTTGCACGCGACTACCTCGGCACTCCTCCCTCTCTCTGTCTTCCTCCCCCGTCCTCTTCATAATCAGGGCTTCGTCGCGTCGCATTGGGAAGCAGCAAAGTCATTGCGCAGAGTTTGGTCTGGCTTTATCTACACACGCACATACACATAACGTGGTTCATCACCGAGTGCCACACATCAGCGAATGCCACAATTGACACGTCCACGCGACAACCCGATTTCATCCACGAATATCTCCATAACAAACAATGGCAAACAAAAGCGACGAACGCAAGATTGTTCTGGCCCTTCAGGCGATCGCATCGAATCCACAATTGAGTATCCGGGGCGCCGCCAAGATCTACGAAGTCGACTTTTCCACCCTCGCCCGGCGGAAGCGCGGCCAACCTGCTCGACGCGACAGCGAGCCCAATTCTCGGAAATTAACGGAATCCGAAGAGGAGGCGCTTGTCAAGTACATACTCGAGCTGGATTCTCGTGCATTCCCTCCCCGGCATTCTGGTGTTGAAGATATGGCCAACCGACTGCTCGCCGAACGCGACGCGGGCGCCGTCGGCAAGTGTTGGGTCGAAAGGTTCGTCAAGCGCCGCGCAGAGCTCGGCACGCGCTGGATTCGAAAGTACGATTACCAAAGGGCCAAATGCGAAGATCCCAAGCTCGTTTCTGCTTGGTTCGACCTTGTGCGGAACACTGTGGCCAAATATGGCATCCTGGATGACGACATCTACAACTTCGACGAAACCGGCTTCCTTATGGGCATGATCGCCGCCGTCATGGTCATTACAACATCGGAAGGCCGTGGTAAAGCAAAGCTGGTCCAGCCTGGCAATCGGGAATGGGCTACGGTCATTCAAGGGGTTAACTGCTGCGGCTGGGCGATCCCCCCTTTCATTATCGTCAAGGGGCAATACCACCTGGCCAATTGGTATTCGGAAACCGACCTCCCACGCGATTGGGTTATTGCAACGAGTTCCAACGGGTGGACTACGAACGAGCTCGGCCTGAAATGGATTCAGCATTTCGACAAACACACGGTAAGTCAAAGCACCCCATCTCCGCCACCCCCCCTTGTCCGCCACCTAACATGAGTCGGATTGGGATTAGGCCTAGCGCATTCAACTGCAATTTTCTACCTTATTTTAACTAACTAGAATACATGAAAGTACTGATTCCTGATCAGAATTTTCCGCTCTTTCTGACGCCGTATCGCTGATTTCCTCCAGTGTACCCCTTCGTTGTGCAACGCGGCGGATATTAACGAAGGTTTCGTTGGGATCCGGGGCCACCCTTCTTTTTTTGCGAGGTTGCTGTGCCTCTAATTGTGCCTCCAACTGCTTGATTTTTTGATGGGCGGTAGCCAATTCCAGATCACGTATTTTATAACCTTTTTGGACCTTTCGGAAGAAAAGCCGTGCCGTGGTGGTGGCCGGGATCGTGGCGCTAAAGTTGCTAATTTGGGAGGCCAACTTTCTGGCCTGTTTGGGAGTTTCCCATGGCATTTGGGACAGCTGTGAAAGCGTATTCGAACGCTGTTTAGCCCTGTTTTCTTCGGCAGATTGTTGAATTTCGGCTCGTCGTTCGTCTTTGTTGGAATTTTCGATCAAAAGCCGGTTCATTAGGGGTTTGGCTATATTGCGAGGCCAAAGGCCTGACGCCCGCCACCCCGATTTAATTATATGTTCGGTTAGGGCTTTGCTACGTGCGTAGGCGTAAGTTTGTAAAAACTAACGCTTTCCTACCACAGTAAAGCTAGTAAATAGACCTTGGAACCCTATTCTTTGGCGGTAAGCGTGTTTGAAAGGGCTGAAAACCGATAGATCGAAAGGTTGCAAAACGTGGGAGGAATGAGGGGGTAAATATAAAAGATATACGTTGTTTTGCAGGCAAAGAGACATAAACTCTTTGGTAACATGGGATCCGTGGCCATCTAATATCAAAAGCCGGGGTTTAGGGGTAGGGGGTTGGGTGCGAGGGAGGAAGATTTTTTGCAGCCATTTTACCCCCGTGCGGTCCGTAGTCCACCCGCTATCCGTTGCAGTGAACTCCCAGCCCTTGAATTGGCCTAAATCCTCCGGAAACCACTGTTCCTGCACGTATTTCCCTTTGAAAATGATAAAGGGAGGAAGCGAAACCCCAATGGCCGAAATGCATTCGATAAACGACGTCCAGGTGCGGTCCCCAGGGTCTTTCCTTTGCAAATGCCGGGCCTCTGCAAGGCCTAAAACAAGGCCGTTGCTCGTCTTGCCCTCCTGCAGGCCCCCCTCGTCTGCGTTGTACGTATTTTCCGGCTTGATCCCGGCCACCTCCGGGATCCGGAGGTACTGCCACCAGTCCTTGATAACTGCAGTAGTAGCCCCTTTAACTCGTGCAGATTCCATGCGCCGGGTTCTGCAGGTACGAACCTCCGGATATCTTTGCAGAAAACGCTTGATCCAACGCCTCCCGAAGGCTATTTCGGTGCCATCCTGAATCCCCTGCAGTCGTAGAATCTCCTCCGCAAAAAACCGGACTTCTGCATGCGTTGGAGGGAGGCCTAAAGAGGCCTGCAAGCGTATCCAATCTGCTAAGCCCTTCTCCTGGGACGGGCCTAGCCGCTGATAAGGTTCTTTTGCCTGCCGGATCGGTAGGGCGCCTTTAAGTCGGTCTCGTAGGGTTGACCTCGGTACCCCATAAAGTCGGGCAGCCCTCGCGATTGGGACCTTCGCCTGCACCGCGGCAACGGCCCGTTCGACTTCTTCTTCCGTATATTGTTTCTCGGGCATCCCAGCAATCGAATGCAGTAAAAAGTATGGAAAACGGATGAAAATTGATGGAATCCCGTAGAATTGAAATACGCGCGACGATTCGGGGCCGTGGGGCTGGCGGGGTGGCGGACAAGGGGGGCTGGCGGAGATGGGGTGCTTTGACTTATCGCGCACGAAAGGCCCATATCGTTTGTTAGTGCTGGACGGCCACGAAAGCCACCACTCGACGGATTTCGAGCTCTACTGCCAAGAACACAACATCATCACGCTTTGCATGCCTCCGCATTCGTCTCACTTCCTTCAGCCGCTTGACGTTGGGTGCTTCAGCCCGCTGAAAAAGGCGTACGGTCGACAAATCGAGGACCTGATGAGGTCGCACGTTAACCACGTGACCAAGGTCGAGTTCCTTTCGGCGTTCAAAGCGGCATTTTTTGACTCTATGACTGAGCAAAACATTCGAGGAGGCTTTCGAGGGGCTGGCCTTGCTCCTTTCAATCCGGATTCGGTTCTGGAAAAGTTGAATGTAAGGTTACGGACTCCAACTCCCCCGAGGACGCCCCTGAACGACCCCGAACCTTGGACCTCCAAAACGCCCAGGACAGCCAGGGAAGCAACTTCGCAGTCCGAACACATCAAAACTCGAATCTCCAATCACCGGAGCAGCTCTCCGACACCCATGCTAGCGGCTGTGGACCAAATTGCAAAAGGGACGAAGGCGATAATGCACGAGGTGGCCCTTCTCCGAGCCGAAGTATTTACGCTTCGAAGGGCGAACGAAGCACTAAGCAAACGCCGGAGGGCCAAAAAAACACGTGTCCGACTTGGAGGGTCACTTACCATCAACGAAGTACGGAATGTTCTGGACCAGCAAGAGCTGGATGGACAGCTACAGCAAGAAATGCGCGACCATGGGGGCCAGGAAAGGAGGGCGACGACAACTCGTCGGCGATGTGGCACCTGCGGCAAAACCGGACACAATGCGCGCACGTGTCAGGAAGAAGTAGAAATGTCCGATGTATACAGTTCCGAGTAGTTTGAATGGATTCCTGGCGTTGTTGGGTTGGCATGTGCGTCGATTGACTGGAGGTCGGGTATGGGTGTGGCATTCGCTGATGTGTGGCACTCGGTGATGAACCACGTTAATGCATTTTTAAAAAAGTTATTTAAAATAAACCCTCTCATATAATTTGTATGTGTTACAATCAGGCCTCTGCTCCTAGGGTAGGGCACCTAAGGGGCACTGAACAGTAACTGTAGACTGGGTTGACTGGGTGAATCACTGGGACCTGGGTGCAGGTCTGAATGCTTGCTCCAAGGGATGCTTGGAAGCTAACTTAGATTGACTGATGCCAGTGCATTCTGTCAAAAACTACCTAGGACAGTAGGAAACCTTTCCTTCTTATACTCGGGGTCTTTGCCTACAGGGCGCCTGCTCCGTCGTCGCCGATAGAGCACCCTGCTCTGTCGCTGTCGACAGAGCATCCTGCTCTGTTGTTGTCGACAGAGCAGCATTGTCGTGTTTACCTAATCATAGTTGGTGGCCCTTCCCCGCTTCATGACCGAGTGCGGGGTCGTCCTGGCCTCCCTGGGCCTCGTGTTTGGCCCGCGACGGTCGTAACACGGTCGTAACAGTATGGGATTTTACACATTTATGTTTGCCTTAACTAATATTTTAACCGCTAAAATTGTTGCAGAATTTCCTAATACTTTGTGTATATCAACGAGAACAATCATCCTCTTCGAAGGACAGAGGGAAGAGAGGACAGACAATGCATTCTTCCCATTCATGGATGACTAGAGACAGTGTTTTCTGACAGATCATCAACTAGGCGGTTGAGTCGGTTGATCACATTTTTGCTGGATAAACCGACCAACCGGTTGAGCAGCCAAACACGGCATTATTTTGTTTCACGGGAGCATGCATGTTTGGGGGCTCGGTTGGACTTTAAAACAATGCACATAGCATCCGCACTGTCACACGGAAGCGACCTTGGGAATAGCCTCACTATGACTTATGACCCGTGCGCCCGCATGGAGTAGGCGCCGAGGACCAATCCCTTGAACAGGGCTACCAATCGGGCCAATGGCCGCGCTGGGAATGGGTGAACCTGTGGCAGGGGCCACTCGTACAGGGGTATATCATCCTGGCCATGTCCAGGGACCCCCTCGGGAGATTCTGCCTCCTTAAGCATCTCTTAAGGCCATGAAAAGATTATTAGCTTCATCAATGAGATCATCCCTCTCAAGCCTGCATTGCACCCTTATAACACGCACCGAGATATTCATAAGTAGATTAGCATAAACTAAATTAAGACGACCTTCCACCGTGGGTTTAATAATTAGAAAAATAATGCCGCGTTTGGCTGCTCAACCGGTTGATCGGTTCATCCATGCAAAGCGTTCTACCCTGCAATTGATCCAATTGTGAAACGAGCCGAGGATCTGCGCCAGGATCCCCTGGGCGCCTAGATGTATCTTTCGCGGGGATTTTAACGTCCCTGGCCACATTCGAACTCCGAGATAGTTTATATTTAGGGCCTGTTCAATACTATTGTGGTTTTTGGTTTTTCCCATACTATTTTTGAAAACCGCTTGAAAACCAGTTTGTGGATCTGAGCCAGGGGGGCCCGGATCCCGGTAAAAAGCCTGATAAATATAGCTTTTGACCCGCCAGAAGTACCTTTTTGACCAGGCCAACGAGTCGCCCAGATGGAGGCCCTGTAAGCCACGTGTTACCCTTGATCATGGAGGGTCTGGGAGGATCTGGGAGAGTCAAAGAGGGCCAGGGCCGGCGGGCCGGCCTCCCGATATAGAAGATCGAGGGGATCCGGATCAAATGAAGGGAGTAGGGTGCACCAAGTTAACTCGCTCATTCTGACCGCAATTTTTGCCCGTTGAGTGCACCGAATAGTTAATGTAATTAGAGTATATTAATCTTTGTGTTGCTCGTTCTGTATTTAAATCTGAACTGCCAGAGGTTTCCCCTTATATACTTCTAGAATCTCTGGCTTCTGGGCTCTCCAACGAGCCTATCGCTGGCCTCAGAGACCCTTTGGATCCTACAGAACGTGAGGCTATTCCGGCCTGCTTTGACCTTGGATCCTGACTTTGCACGGGTCGTTGTTATTTTTGGGAATAGCTTCTATTCTGAGCGTCTGTGCCCTTTGCTTTTTATAGATACACATTCCCTGTACTCCCTGCACGGGAATCCTGCGAAAATCGGGCCCAAATATACATGAACGGGCACAGGGCTACCCCGGGCGTTGTCTCCACGTCGAGAATTAAACTTAAATCAGGGCAAAAAACCGACTAGGGGGTCAAAAAACCAAAAACCTAATAGTATTGAACAGGCCCTTAGCCTCACGTCGCCACGCCGGCGGAAAGTGAAGCTATTCAAAGAATATCAGCAAGGGCTCGGGTGACATCAAGAAGGGAATTATCGCCGGCGACCCCGGGGCGACGGGTAGGCCGTTCGGGTTTATTTTTAGTGCATTTAGAAGCCCTGATTTCGGAGATGACAGTGATATTAGAGATCCAAGCGGGCGCCAGGCAGGCGCCCGTAGTTGTTAAGTGTTGTGTAGCAGCAATATACTATCGTTTGTGCTTGTTATGCCTGCTTATTCCTCCCAACGGTATTCCTTCCGGCGCGGGCGCCAGGAGGAGCCTTTTCAGCCGCTTAACAGCCATATTACTCTATCTAGCGACTCCTCTACCTTATCCTCTGACGACGAGGACCTTCCTGTACGGTCCCAGGCCGCCCTCAAGCCCTCGCAGATCACCCTAGGCACGCCTCGGCCTATTTCCCCCAGCGCCCGCCCTCCTTCCCTTGAGCCGGGATACGACCCCTTCCTCGAGGCCACGCAAACGACCGCCCGTGAGCCTACCCCAAGCCCTTCCGAGGCCTCGTTTCTCCCAGACTTCCAGGCCGAGGACGTCTTTAGCACCCCACCGACCTCTGAACAGGCCTGGCATGACCCTGACGACCTCGTTGAGCCTGTTGATAGGCCCGTGCCGGGCCTCGTGAGGGACGGGCGGGCGGGCAGAGGCGAGACTTGGTCCCCTACCCAGGAATTGCGGTTCCTGCAACTATTGGCAGAGGCGGCCCGGGCCGGCCAGATGAACCCCCAGATCGCCAACTAGCTCTCCAAGTGCCTCAAAAAGGCGGCAGGGCGATTGCAGGCCCAATGGCCGCTAATTCAATGGGCAAAGAGGGTCAAGAATAAGTACAACTATATGAAGAAACGGTACAGGGACTGGGAAGGCTTTGGGCGACGATCAGGGGTCAGCGTCGATCCCTATACAGGGAGATACAGGGCGAGTTGGTCCTGCTTTGAGGCTTACTTTGCAGTCAATCCGGGCGCCCGTTGGATCAAGGAGGGTGCGTGTGTAACAAGGGGACAGAGTCGGCTTGGAGAAGTCTCAATTTATTAATAATTCTCTCAGGGCCTCAAGGAGATGCTTAAGGAGCCAGAATCTCCTCGAGGGATCCCTTCGAGAGGCGCCTCCTATATAGGCCGCAGAGTGGCCCGTGTAGAGTCCTAAGGTACGTATCTAATTGTGGGGCTGGGAGTGCCAAGCGCCTGCAGCTGGTCGTTGGTCATGCAAGAGACCTGCGACTTGTTGGAGGCGGTCCAACCCCGAAGCGCCCGTTTATCCCGGCCTCCTTACTGGCCTTTAGTTGGCCCAATGGCCTTCCGTTAGTCACAGGGGTGATCCCCGTGTGACAGCGTGTTGTTGAGATCCCACTGCAGGGCAGGCAAGATGTCGACCCAGTCCTTACCGGAGTATTGAGCGTGCATGCGGATTGCGAGCTTAACTGCCTGGTCCTTCCTTTCTAACTGGCCGTCGGCTTAAGGGTGAAAGGCTATGGTCATCGCGAGTTTGATTCGGAAGGACAACCAAAAAGCTTTCCAAAAACGGGAGAGGAACTTGCTGTCTCTGTCGGAGATGATCGCTCGTGGGCAGGCCCAGTTTCCCAGAGGTGGCGTGCTAGCACTGCGGCCTAATCCTCGGCCTTGTACGTGTTGTGGCCTGGAAGTAGGAGGGCCCGCTTGCTCGTTTTGCACGTCACTGTCATCATGGTGTCGTAGGCGTCGAAGACCTTGTGCTGCCATGGCGTGCCCTGGGCAGGCATTACGGACATGCTAATGATGAAATCCATGGCTAGAGTGCTCATCGGCTCCAAAGGGGCCTGAATAGGCTGGAAGATTCCAATGGGGAGCTGTTTGTTGGCGCTGTTGGCTCCGCACGTGTGACACCTCTTGACGTAGCTATCGACGAGTTTCCTCTTAAGTCGACCCACCCCGAGTTGGGCCACCCCCTGTCTTGGGCCACCCCACAGAACCTTCTCGTTTCCGGCACCCGCTAACAAAAGTGAAGCTATCGCGATCTTTTTTTGTTCAATCCAAGCCGCAAATATATCATTTTGAAGCTCTTGATCA